CTAGTGTCTATCTGTGATCACTGCAAGGGCAAGATGCAGCTGGTGGCCGACCTGCTGCTGCTGTCTAGCGAGGCGCGCCCGGTGCTCTTCGAAGGCCCCGCCTCCCCGGGCGCTGGTGCCGAGTCCTTCGAGCAGTGCCGGGACACCATCATCGCGCGCACCAAGGGCCTGTCCATCCTCACCCACGACGTGCAGAGCCAGCTCAACATGGGCCGCTTCGGAGAGGCAGGGGACAGTCTCGTGGAACTGTCAGACTTGGTGGTATCGCTGACCGAGTGCTCTGCACATGCGGCCTACCTGGCGGCCGTGGCCACGCCGGGTGCTCAACCTGCACAGCCTGGCCTTGTGGACCGCTACCGTGTGACACGCTGCCGCCACGAGGTGGAGCAGGGCTGTGCTGTGCTTCGAGCCACCCCTCTGGCTGACATGACCCCGCAGCTGCTGCTGGAGGTGTCGCAGGGCCTGTCTCGAAACCTCAAGTTCCTGACGGACGCGTGCGCCCTAGCCAGTGACAAGTCACGGGACCGCTTCTCGCGCGAGCAGTTCAAGCTGGGCGTCAAGTGCATGAGCACCAGTGCATCTGCACTGCTGGCATGCGTGCGCGAGGTGAAGGCGGCACCCAGCGAGCTGGCCCGCAGCCGCTGCGCACTCTTCAGTGGGCCCTTGGTACAGGCCGTGAGCGCCCTGGTGGGCTTTGCCACCGAGCCTCAATTCCTGGGTCGTGCAGCAGCCGTGAGCGCTGAAGGCAAGGCGGTGCAGACCGCCATCCTGGGAGGCGCCATGAGCGTGGTGTCCGCCTGTGTGCTCTTGACCCAGTGCCTCAGGGATCTGGCGCAGCACCCCGATGGGGGCGCCAAGATGTCGGACCACAGGGAGAGGCTGAGGAACTCGGCCTGCGCCGTGTCTGAAGGCTGCACCCTGCTATCTCAGGCTTTAAGGGAAAGGTCTTCACCCAGGACTTTACCGCCAGTGAATTCCAATTCTGTGAATTAGCACCCCACCCCACACACCCCCATACCCATTTTCCACCCTAGGCTAAAGGAAGACACTTATTCCTCCCCTCTCCATTTATACCAAAGAAATCATAGGTGACTCCCCCTCCCCCATATTAAATGCTCAAGAGGATTTTTCCAGAAGGCAGGGCCATGCACACAACTTACATGTACACAGTGGGCCCAGGTGTCTACCAGCCCACTGTAGAGACTCAGATGCAGAAGATGGGTGGGAAGTCTGTGGGCTGCAGGATTACCCCTACACACTCCAACCCTTCAACTCTATTAATTGGGCAGGAAAGACGTCATGAGTTCATTTCTTATTTTTAATTAAAAGAAAGGTTACCTCAGTTTTCACTCCTTAGACATGGATGTAGCTACCTTTTTGTATGTTGTTATTTTTGTTGAATTAGAGTATACATGGTGTGATAAGAGTATGACTTTGCCATGTGATTTGCAAGTGGGGGGAAAGCTACTGTGAGCGTGTGTTTTATTTTTTAATTTACACTATAGAGTGATTTTTCCCCCCAATGTCAAGTTTTTACCCTGCATGTACTGGAGTATTTATTTCATCTATTAAATTGTTATGTTTCTCAGATGGCTTTTTTTGCAGTTCTATATTTTCACTAACTCTGCATGCTGCCTGTCATCTGTGGGAAGGGGCTGCCAGGGAAAGGTTTACTTCAGTTGTCAAGTGAATCCCCGGTGCCCACCCTTTTTCACTTTTCTTCAAGAATTACTCTTCTGAGCAGCCTAGCACCACAGAAAGACAAATGTGTGTGATCTATTTTTAAAAGCAGGCAACATGGGATTGGATTATGCAGTGCTTGGGGGTGGGCTGTTAGTGGGGGTTTTGTCTTCCTTCTAGTTTTTCTGGAGAGTGATTTTGCTGTCTTTGTCACTGCTCATCTCACTATCATCGTGAGCCACGGTTCAGACTGACTGAAGTCTGATTTGTGCTCTGCCTGTCGTTTTCAGGTTAAAGTACTTCCTAATACTGTGTGGGCTGCAGCCTCCTTGCCAGCTCACAGGATTACTGCATGGGACTCAAGAGCACTGTGCATCAACTTAGTGTATTTAGCATCTAGTGACAAGGCTAAGCCTCACTCAGAAATCTCCATGACTTTAGGGACTCCTAGGCTTTTTGATAGATGAGAATGTCTCCTCAAGAGTGTGGGAACTTTCTAGAGCATAATTGCTGGCAGAGGGCTTGTTTCTGTGACCTTGATTCAAATGGTTGATTGTGTTGATTGAAATCATGTCATGGTAGTTTGTCTTTTGGGTAGACATAAAGGGATTGGGGATGGGGGTTGTAAGGGAGTGTGTAGTTTGTTGAAGACACTGTTGAGTAGTTCTTATTAAAAGAATGACAAACCTATTTACAGTCTTGAAGCCTGGAAGAGCCACACAGGCAAAAGGACTCCTACAGTCTTTAAATGTATCGTTTATGTTTTTCTTGGGATTTATTGTGCTTAAACCTTGGTGGTGCCCACAAATCTGAAAAGTTTTCACTATAAAATATCAGCATGAAGAGAGTCATACTGACTGCTTGAATGGCTGTATTTATTGCAAGAATATGAAATTTCACTTGTAAAATTATCTCTCTCCCACTCTTAGAAAAATGTTAAAATACAATGGTCAGGGGAAAGCTGGCCATGGTGGCTCACATCTGTAATTCCACCATTTATGAAGCTGAAGCAGGAGCATTGCTGTGAGTTTGAAGCCAGCCTGAGCTGCTTCAAACAAAAAATAGTCATTAGGAAAATGATCAAAGGAGCAGTCATTTTCTCTGTGAGGTCCTGGAAGAGTTAAACTATAAAGTAAAATAAAGTGACCTTGAGCGTTATTCATTCCCCTGCTCTTTTGTAAAGTTTGGTCTAGATTAGTTTCAGGGAGATTGAGGAGGAAACCCTAAGTGTGTGAGGAAATTATTCGTATTTATTGGATTTACACAAATAATGATAAAAATCTAAGTTTTGTATGGTTCCTTCAGTTGTAGATCACAGAGTAAACTCAAAGGAAATAAGAACCAGAAACCTATAGATGTGGTAATTAAGAAAAAAGAATTGCCATCTTATTCTTGGACTCACTCCCTAAAGAAGTTTAAAAATCATGCAAGCCAAAAGGAAACAGACTTGCCCTATCTCCTTGCATGACATTAACTAGCTCATCTCCGAATCCAACTTGGAGCTGCTCTTTCTCCCAGACAAGTGACAAGTGCAATCAATGCTTGTGTGTGTTTAAAGGTTTGGGCATTTGATGTTAGAAATCTGTCTGAAGAAAAGTGACATTGAGCTTTTTTCTCTTCTGTTTTTGAGGCTCGGGGTTTGTCCAACAGCAGGTGTCTTGAAATAACTGTCTTTTCAGCAGCTTCTGAGAGGCAGTGTGACGACCACACAGTACCGTGTGTGTTTGTGAATGTGTGTGTGTATGTGTGTGTGTGCAGTGCTTCATTGGGCGAGGTACTTGGACACAGGCCTTGGAGATTGTAACTTTCTTCCAATGTACTAGCTGCCAAACTTCTCTTTTAAATAGCCCCTGAGTTTGTGTGTGTGTGTGTGTGTGTGTGTGTGTGTGTGTGTGTGTGTGTGTGTGTGTGTGTGTTTAAGAAATACATCAACCTATTTCATAATAGGATGTAATGAGGTCAGCAGAATTATTGGTTCCAGGAATAAAATCAGAATGGCCTCCTTTCACTTTTCTTTCTTCTTTTTTAATACGTAAACTACATGTCACTACTGTTAACTTCCATTGCATCCCTGGGTCCTTCTGATGTCCCAGATCAAGGTTTGCATGTGAGGCTAAAGCTGTCTGTCCTTTCTGATGGGAGATGTCAAGAACCTTCTCAGGAATGCTAAGGAGAAAAAGGAAAAAACAAAAACAGCTAAGTTCTCCAAACAAAAGCCATTATCTATGACAGTCAGCCAAGGAAATGGGACAAAACGGGCTTTCAAGCATTACCAAGAAAAAAAAAATCACAACAAGCCTTTCTTTAGCTGTTTAAAGTTTTGCCTTTCTTACTCATTCTGAGTTCTTGGTAAGAGTGTAACGCGCGCGCACGCGCACGTGTGTGTATGTGTGTGTGTGTGTGTGTGTGTGGGTGTGTGTGTGTGTGTGTGTGTGTGTGTGCGCGTGTGTGTGTGTGTGTGTGTGTGTGTGTGTGTGTGTGTGGTCTTTCTGTCTCCCAGCCCCTGTGATCTTTATAATTTTGGAAACATCAGTTAACGACTGAGTGGTGGTTCTTTTACACTTTCCTTTTTAAACTGGTGTAGGGATCTGAGCTATTTGGCAGTTTGAGACAGCTGATCTTAACAGGAACACCTGTTTTTCTGAATGAAAGTGTGGGGTGAACAGGCATAGTAGCAGGGGTTTGACAGAGGAGAGTTACCACCCAAATGTGCAAAGACAGTGAGAGGGCTTGGGGAAGAAATCCACACACTTAACAACATTTACCTGGTGCTGCTGCCTGGCTTGACCTTTGGCTACTACAGTAACTGAAGAGTGCTTAAGGAGACCTGGGCCTTAAGGGTAGAAATAGACCCTTGTGCCCCAGGCAGATTCTCTCAGGGTTTACTCCTTTATTTACTTTGCATATGTATGACTAATTGGTCAGTTTTGTTTAAGCAAAGTTTCTGTGAGTAATTGCTTCCCCCACTGTGATAAAAGGCTCAAAAAATGTGGTTGTCTATATACAACCAGGAAAATGCTGTTAGCATGGACATCTGTGATTGGGGTCAATTTAATAAGGCTGTGAACCCTTCAAGGTCAGAAGCTGTAATGCCTGGCATATATGTATTTTGGTTTTGGTTTTCAAATGAAACTAATAAAATGCCTACAACTAGTTTATATATATGCAAGTGGTGAAATAGTTCCTGGAAGTGAAGTTACAATGGTCATTCACAGAGCAAGAAGACACTGGAAGCCAACTAGGGTACAGCTGTAAGTGACACATGGTCTAGAGTCTGTCACACGGGCTGTGTGATCCAGAGACCCACAGCATCTTCACTATCCTGGAAGCTACTTTGGGTTTGTTCAATAGAATCTGGTCTGTGTTGTGTCAGGCTCTCCGGGTAGACTGATGCATGCCTGAGTTGGAGACTCCCTGTCCTATGGAGTAAGTAGGTTTCTTTTTTGTTTGTTTTTTGTTTTTTTGTTTTTTGAGACAGGGTTTCTTTGTGTAGCTTTGGAGCCTATCTAGCATTCACTCTGGAGACCAGGCCAGCCTTGAACTCACAGAGATCCTCCTGCCTCTGCCTCCCAAGTGCTAGGATTAAAGGCGTGCGCCACCAACATCCAGCGCAAATAGGTTTCTTTTTATTCCTTTTCCATTTTTAATTCCAGAATACACCACTTGTGTATCAGGAGGCAGGATCATTTCTGTGAGCTCCTCCTTAGCTCTGGTGTCCTTTTCTCTTGGATATTGTGAGATTCAACCTAGGTCTTTGTGTGTGGTGGGCAAATGTTCTGCCACTGTGCTATGTCCTAAGGCCCTAAGAACTTCTCTTTAGCTAGATCTTTGAGGATATATGTGTTGTGTTTGTTTCATGTGTATGATGTGTGTGGGGATGCAAGTGTGTGTGTGCCACATCTTACATGTAGATCAGAGGACAACTTTGAGAATTAGATCACCAGGTTTGTGTAGCAAGGGATTTTAGCCTCAGAGCCATTTCGTGTGTGTGTGTGTGTGTGTGTGTGTGTGTGTGTGTGTGTGTGTGTGTGTGTGTAAAGTAGAGTCCTTTTCCCTCTGTTCACTCTTTGGAAATAAACTGAAACAATACAACAGTAAAGTAGCAAAATGGCTTTATGTTGTTAACATATTGACCACCCAAGAAAGAGCACTTCACTTCTGAGGTTTTTGTTTTTGTTTTGTTTTGTTTTTTAATGTGTATGAGTGTTTGCCTGTATGTATGTGCACTGTGTGCATGCCTAGTGCCTGAGGAGTCAAAAGAGTCAGATGGCCTGGCACTGGACTTACGGATGCTTGTGAGTCACCATGTGGATGCTGGGAACCAAACCTGGATCCCCCATGAAAACAACAAGTGTCCTTAACTGCTGAACCTTCTCTCTAGCTCTGGCTACTTAGTTTATAACATATTTTGTACTCACAAGCAAGTTATATATACTTTAGGAAATTTGTACTGCATTATGTGATACAGTCAGGAGATAGAGGCTCTTTAAGGGTGATCAGCCTTGAGAGCTAGAGTTGCTGTTTAAAAGAATCTCATTACTCATGGGACAGTGGCAGATATGGGGACTGGGACCAGACACTGCCACTCACATCACCCATTACTCAGAGGGTACACAGGATCTCAGCCATACCCTGGCCCCAGCCCTGCCTGCTCTTTGGCATTTATTCACATGGCCCTGATCACATTAGCCTCGGGACAGTTCTATGGTAGGATGAGGTAGCCATGACTGAGTCCTGGCTTTATTCTGAACTGTGGGAAGTGGAGTGTTTGTTATACTTATTTGAGCCTCTTTAGTTTACAGACCACTTTCACTCATCCTATGACATTGGGTCCTTAAAACAGTCTTGGGAGGAGGTAGGTATTACTCACTGTGTCTGTCTTCCAAACATTTGTGCCTCTGTTTTCCCGTTGTAGAAACTAAAGCAAATATTTACAGTGAACTCAAGCGGAAGGCCTCATGATGAGCTCCATCAGAGTAGCCCCGTCTACTTCATGGAGTCACGTCACTGAATGTTAGGTTCACAACAGTTTCCCTTGACACTGTCTTAACTTCCAGTGCTTTGACACAGCAAGTGCATTGATGCCTTGTTCTCATCCTCTGAGAAGTGTTCTGTGTAGCATCAGACCTCCAATCCGGATTCTCTACAACACTTAAGTCTTAAAATATTTAAACTGGGTGGTGGTGACGCATACCTTTAATCCCAGCATTTGGGAGGCAGAGACAAGTGGATCTCTGTGAGTTCGAGGCCAGCCTAGTCTACAAAGTGAGTCCAGGACAGCCAGGACTGCAGAGAGAAACCCTGTCTCAAAAAACAAAAACAATTTTTTTGAAATCACCACTGGGACATTTTGGGCTTCAGGAAAGACTGAGGTGTTAAGTATGAATTTTTATCATAATTTAAAAATGAATCCGGTTGCTATTTTTTTTCATTTAAAATTCAAAATCTTTATTTTTTTATTTAAATTAGAAATAAGCTTCCTTCACATGTCAATCCCAGCTCCCTCTCCCTCCTCTCCTCCCCAGTCCTCCACCAGCTCCCCAACCCCCCACATCATCCCCACTCTGCTCCCCAGGGAGGGTGAGGCCCTCCATGGGGGCATCTCCAAAGTCTGTCATATCATCTGGCAGGGCCTAGGCCCTCCCCATGTGTCCAGGCTGGGAGAGCATCCCTCCATGTGGATGGGCTCCCAAAGTCCATTCCTATGCCAGGGATAAATACTGATCTACTACTGGTTGCTGATTTTAAACTATGACTAAAGTTGGATTGATAAGATTTAATTTTTATATGTGTATGTGTTTGGTGTGTGTGTGTGTGTGTGTGTGTGTGTGTGTGTGTGTGTGTGTGTGTGTATGTGTGTATGTATGCCACAGGGTATGTGAAAGTCAGAAGACAGCCTTTGGGAATCACTTTTTTCCTTCCCCCTTTACATGGGATCTGGTTATTGAACTCAGGTCCTCAGGCTTGCTCATCTTTATCTGCTGAGCCACCTCATTGACCTTATTTTAAATGTGTAGCATCCATGTATCAAGATTCTGCTAAAGAAAGGACAGGAAGCTTTGATAATCCGTTTTAGAGGAAGAAACATACACGTGGGGTGCATGCAACTTAAAGGGTGTCACCTCTCTAAACGACTGAAGTATTATCCAAGCACAAAT